ATTATTAACCAAAATTCTGCGATCATTGTCATTTCAGATTTATGGAACCAAAACAAAACGGTTCTAATTAACAAAAATTAGTTAAGTGTAACTTATGACTCGATGCGACATTTCATTCTACACCCTTAAAAAGTGCTTAAATGAAGATAGGTAAACAACTATATAAATTAGTGGAAAATGTTAAGCCAAAAATAACAGGTATATCTAAGTTTATCCAAAAATATTTCAGATCTTTTCAATATAATTTTGACTACGTAATATGTATTCGGCACGGCACTTTTTGGAGATAAATCTACCGATGTAAAGAGAGTTGTCACATGAACGAATGGGCGTATTTCAATGAACCGAAGGTAGTATTAAAGTAATTATGGTTGCGGCAAATAACTATCTTCTGCAGCAGCACTCATTGTGAACTAAGGCTGAATCCTTCACTTTTGCTTTTTGAGGATCACGAGTTTTCGAAACACAAAATCCACTGTTTAAAAATCTGAAAACATACTTTCATAAGCGAAACTCACCAGACAATCTAAATGAAAGTTTCAGAAAAGCAGATTAACTCAAAGCAACTATCTCACCTTTTGTAACATCTAAAATTAGGAAATCAATCTGTCAAATTAACTCTGTGATTCAACCTGTTTTAAGGCTTTAAATATCGATAAAACATAATCTTTAAAACTGTTCATAATTTTGATGAAGGCAATCATTTACATCATCTGCAGCTTTAAAATGAGAACAGTGCAACTGCAACTGCATCTCCCGTGAAGAATTGAACTTCTAATCCAGATCAGAAGAAGGATGATTTATGCAAATGATTAATAATAATGATTTACAAACAGTATCTTTTAAGCCAAGAAGCTCATTTCACAGCTGCTGAAAGAGTGAAATACGGAAAAGTCGATATGGACAAACGTTTTTGAATTGAATGAGTATAACATACCAGTTTCTTCATGTCTACCCAAAAGCTACCACCAACTTCTACATCATGAAATTTTAACAGTTGTTATGATATGAAAACAATTCTGGAAAATATTTATTTCACAGAAGTTATGAAACTGGACAGAGTGAACAAAAATTACTTCATTTTTTACTATCTAAAACAATTACTGCTCCCGCTCCTTCTACGACATAATTTTGATTTGAAACATAATTAAATAATTTAATACAAACTGCTACAAGTGAAAATTTACGTCTCGTTCGTCATCACCAACGAATAAAGAATTTGACGTCAAAAATTTCAATTCAGAAAAATGCAGAACAAAGCAGACCTAGTCACAGTACAACATTAGAAAAATAATTCACGCTAATGGATGCAAAATTAAATTGTGGACTTTCAACATTTGAAAAGATATCGACAAATCAGTTATAGAGATGAGAACAGATCATAATATCATAATAATAGGAAGTGAAAATCCAGAGGAATCAAACGATCGAGAAATGATGTGGTAGTGAATAAATTTCATGGGAGTTAAAAAGACTACATACTGTCTGCACAGTGATAAGACTTGTGACTGCAAATTCTGAAGGCCTGTAAAATTCAAACTGCACTGGTAATATTATGAACTTTAAAATCTATGCTAAATATAAAACTAGTACTCCACCACACAAAATGGAAGAGTGAGAAAGTGGCAACACTTACAATCCACATTAATTCATATTGTTTTATTTTTAACCAAGAACTTCATACTTTTTGTTTCAAAGCCAAACGGGTAATTGTAAATCTACAAAGAAGTATTCTTTTGAACAAAAGAAACGATACCGAAAGCGCTTTAGAGAGAAAAGCGAAAGTAAGACAACTACAATTTCTTACGATGCTCCCAACATTAGAGCCACAATCATGCCATATAAGCCCAGAACCTGAAATGATTAAAAGTTAGAAATCAAGGATATAAGTTTAACAATGAACTTAAAGTTTCAGATTAGAAAGAAGACCACCAAGTTGGTCTTGTGTCAATAACTAGTGCTTTCAGAAACAGACAAAATGAAAAAAGAAAAGACTTTCGTTATTCTACATACCAAAATGTCAAACCAATCTTAATATCTCAAATTGAACGGCAATTACTTAAAGATTTGCAAATTTTACAACAGTAAACTCACTTTATTTGAAATTTTATACTCACGAATAAATAACCATAACAAAAAAATATCTAGAAAAATTAGAGACAATCAATACTAACATCAGTAAAGATACCTACCTCGGAGAAGATCAGAATGAGGATCATGCCAACGAAAAGTCGTGGTTGTTGAGCAGTTCCTCTAACTCCTGCATCACCCACAATACCTATAGCATAACCAGCACCAAGGCCACATAGACCACATGTAAGACCAGCAGCTAAGTGAGCGAATCCTTTATCTAAAGTATAACCATCTGAAGCTTTCGTCACTTTGCCTTTTAGTACCATTGCCACCTGCAACATGAATGAGATATATAACTGCTACATTCATTTTAATAACAACACTAATAATTTACTGAACTGAAAAAAGATTACATTTGTGCGCTCGTTTGATTATAATTTAAAATCCATAAATTATGCAGCTAATTAAAACAATGATCTAAAATAATGAAGGATCAGAAGCAATTCTCTAGTAAGTGAAAGAAAACATCATTTTCCAAATCCCATTAAAACAAGCTCAAATATTGAAAATAATTCAAAACGGATATTTTTTACAAACTTTACTTTCCAAACCAAATGCTGTATGAGGACTGCAACTGTTAGATTTACATGGGAAAGAATATGAACAATTAAATATAACTTGTTTTAAACAAAAAATCAGAAAAAACTCACAACTAGACCGTAAATACCAATAATGCCAGCCATAATAACTGGAATCACGGATTTCATGATTAGTTCCGGACGCATTACACCCATACTGGAGATACCCACAGCTGACTTAGCCGTCCCATAGGCTGCGCCAAGTACGGTGAATATCTGCGCTGATGCAGCTCCCATATATCCAAAAAAGGGTGAATAAGCCGGACTTTCTGCTACTGCCAAATCATACGACATTTTTTAAGTTTCCTGTCTATTTAGCGGAGAAAATCTGAAATTAGAAACCCATTTTGCTAAGTTTTCCTTCGACTTTATAAACTACAGCGCATAGTAAATCTAATCTTGCACTTTTGCCTACAATTGCATAAAAAAACAAAATGACGGTAATGAAATGCAAAACAAAGATAGGTATCACCACAAATGCTTAAAAAGTGACACTGATGAGTCATCTAACATACCATTCAAAATGAGAATACAAAATAACATCCTACTATTCACAAGGGAATAAAAGCAGATCATTTAGTATACAACAATCTTTCGATTTTTCTTTTTCTTCCAAGCAAGAATTTGTTGCAGACAAAATTAAAGACAAGATAGAACATGAACAAATTAAAAAACGGGCAACTATTCCAACAGAATATTTCGAAAATAAATAATTGGCGAGTTCTCTTTCAAAGAAACACATTGGATTCCACTGAAAATTTTACAAGTTGTCGAGTATCAAATAAAGCAAAAAAGATACTATCAACCAATATAGCCACTTCACAAGGATTATGAAGATTGCATTTCATATGAAGTCCCATCTCAATGACAATAGCAATTGAAGGGAAATAGGTTTTTCCCTAAAGTCAGTGCTCGAAGCCGTGTAAAACTAAATATTTCTTTAGTATTAAAGAAATATGACTCCAATTTCAGCCAATAAAAAGAAAATATGCGAATGGCGGGAAATGAAATAAATCCACCTACAGCATAAATTGTCAGGAAGAAAATCTATTATCTTCATTGGAAAGGATGACATAACATATCATCTTCATCTTAGGATTATACAGTGTTTCATTATTGGTCCCTTTCTATGAAAAATCGAGCTTCCTTATCAAACATCATTCAATTCAAATTCCCTGAAATCACTCCCAAGTTATTCTAGTCCATTATCCATACATTAGTGTTTTATGCAGTAGTTAACACAAGAGATTCTATGGTACCGCGAATAAATACACTGGATCGTTACAAGCGAAAAGTTTTGGAAAGCTGATGAGCAAAACCTCCATAAAACTAAGGTTAATCTTCAAACATGACCCAGCAATGTAAAACACACTAGAAAAATAATATAAATTCATCAGCTATTGAATATGAACCTAGAAGCCACCACAATCCTGAGACCTATTAGTATTATAAAATCATCATGATTCAGCGACCAAATTGGGATTATAAAAAGTATACGAAATTAATGTTCATATTACGCTCAAATCTGATTATTGAAGTATGATTCATTGTTTGTTTTCTAACTAAAGTCAATAATATCGAGAAGCCTAATGTAATCGAAGTACCGAAAAATAGTGATTGGCTTAACCATTATTTCACAGGAAGAGAAAAAATCTTTAACATCTAATCATATGCTGCCATAAGCAGTACTACCACATAAATTCTTGACCTAGACTAATTAGTTTCAAACAATCTTAAATTTGAATCATATAACTGAAATATATAATTGAAAATGAAATTAGGAAAATAAGCTGAGAAAGCTTGACTTCTATAAACGATAACTGGAAACAGGAAAAGTATGATAACAAAGCATCATAAATTTACTGAAGTGTAATGAATAAATCTATGCACAAAGCGTAAGAAAGGTACAAATATGAAAAAATCTAACATTATTCAACTATAATTTATGGAAATTCTTTAGACTGATACAGATAATAGGTGTTGAACTTCAAAAAGAATTTTTCAGCGCATTGTTAATTTTGTAATCCACTCATACAGAGCTTTTTACATCAACAAGAAACCATTAAATTATGCTCTGAATACCACAATGAGAATCAAAGCCCTTCTGGTAACATTTTTCCATAACACCGCAAATCCTAATTTGTTCTTATTTCAAGGTTCGTCAAATAATTTCAAGTCTTATTCTGCATCATCTTCTAGCTTTTTGCTCTAAGTTTCAAATCAAAATGTAAAACAGAAGTTTATTTGTTTTTTCTTATGTCTAATATTTGTTCAACAAATGCATGTAAATTATGTTGCTCCCAAGACCAAAGCAATAATCATGCCATACAAACCGAGCACTTCAGCGAAGATAAGAATCAAGATCATTCCTATAAAAAAACGCGGCTGTTGCGATAATGCCCGAACACCAGCATCGCCGGCAATCCCAATTGCGTAACCAGCGCCACAACCACACAAACCACATACCAGGCCTCCAGCAAACATACTGAATCCCTGATCAATTTTAAAGCCGTCAGCAGAAGATGTTACACGACCGGCATACACCACAGCAACCACCAATCCATAAATAGCAACAATACCTGAAAATGAATCTAATATCGAGGAGCAAACAATTTGTTCACCACATTCCTATGACTTTCTAGGACTATTCTTGCATAAACCAAAATATGAAAAAAAGACGTCCTAATAGCAGTGAAAATTTTGAAAGGATACACATACGAAATCTGAAAAGCTCACCGGCCATTACAACAGGTATGATAGCTTTCATAACAAGATCAGGACGTGTAACAGCCATGGATGCAATACCCGTTCCTGATTTTGCAGTACCACAAGCTGAGCCAGCTGCAGTAAACATCATTGCAGCGGATACTCCAAGTGTACCAAAGAAGGGTCCATACATCGCACTTTCCGGATCTGTTGTGGGCTCATATATTTCTCTAGCTGACATTCTGAGTTTCTGGAACAATTTTTTTTCCAACACAAAAAAACTTTTGCTCCAAACTTCTTTGTTTATCGTCCCACCCCGAAAGCAATTCCGTCATTTATTCCTTCCTAGGAAAAATTTTAGGGAACACAGGAATGAGTGCAAGTGTCGTGTTCCGAATAAGCAGAATTATTAATAAGTCAACAAAATGATTAACTTTCCAGTCCTCTTATTTCAGCAAAAGTCTTTGGTAAAAAGGGCACCATTCTACCAACCGCCGACATCTTGTCCTTTGAATGTTCTCCACATTCTTAACATATCTATGAGTAAGAAATACTTTGACGAGTGTGTACAGAAGCGAGAATTCAATAGTGGATAACCGCTCACCCAGGTCTACACAATAAAGAAGGAAAGACATATAGGTGGCATTTATTGCGTGAAGAGGTCACGTGAAGCAGTCTCCTTTCACAAACAAAAAAAAAAACTATCCGAGAAATCTCAAGGCGAGATCTCGACAAAACAAGTGACACCAGCACGACCGCACAGCAGCACACACGCATGACAAATACGAGAAAGAAGCGCATGCAGAGAGACGACGAGCATCACAATGACCAAGAATCGAAGAGCATTACGGTAACGCCCATTTCTATAGCTGATTGGAATGGCTTATAAGCGGTGAGGTGCGTCGCGTTCCATTTTATTGTTTGGTGGGAACTGAGAAGGGCTAAAGCTGGGAATTTGACTTTACGTGTTTTGTGTGTGCATCGTGTCCGACGTCAGGATTTGCCTTACTATCATCATGGCAGCAAAAGGTAAGTGTAGCACCGCCAGGTGATCTCCACCGCAACGGGTACAGACATGTTGTTTCTCATCGTCTGCTACTCTTGTTCTACCGTTTTCTGGATTTAGAAGCGGAAAAGGACGGGGATTCTTCGTATTCCTGAGTAATGAAGTGCTGCGAGTTAGATACGAAACATAGTTTAAAACGGAAGATAGTTTCTTGTTAAAGTTCGTAGGGATAAGTATTAAGTTTTACTACGTCACACCTTGGTGTGAATCAAAAACCCAATTAAGAAATTTGGAATCTAGTCCAGCTAACAGTTTGTTAAAAGTACATTGGAAATGCGACCTGAAAAAATAGTACGGGAAAGTGTATTTCGAAAGTGCTTTGCATGCGTTATTAGTCTCCAACATAATATTGTTGTAAATCAAAAGTTTTCGGTGGTCATCTTCCGAAAAATTGAGTGCTTCAACCAATTATCCCGTTAACGTTTGGACGGACTCACAAAAAAGTATTTGAAAAATTGGACGTCGAAGAAAAGTGAGAGTGTTAAGCCGGATTTCAGGTCATTATTCTGAATTATTTGGATAGGGTTTCAATGGGTTGTTTTCGTCCATTCAAAAATTTCAATAAATAGCAGTAAAATGGTAATGAAGAAACGGAAGACGAAAATAACGCAAATGAGGCGACGAAGTAGTGCGCGAAAAATAGTGACAAGGAAACGCAGGCGAAAAAGAAGTATTGTGCATATCGAGGTCGTTCTCTTTTTTTAATAGTCCCAAAAGTTTAGAATGTGAGAGCCATTTTGTTAAACATTTCACGATTTGGTAGTTGGTAGGAATGCCACTACTTTAAAAGTATTTTAGGGATCTAAAATATAATTATAGATTTCAGTGGATGCTTTCCATCTTGAGCTTAGCTCATCTTTGGAGCTGATTAAGATGTACATCGACATTTCTTTATCAGTCAGCTCGGTTAAATGATAAGTTTCTTCAGATTGCATACATTTGTTAAAAAGTGTCAATTTATGTTGCTTTTAGAATGTTGAATTGCAGACCATACCTTCTACCTCCTCCTTGCAATCTTTAAATTCATCGCCAAAGGCGCAACTATCTATGCAGAATGGTAGTAATGGTGACGATTTCATTGGAGACAATTGTTTTCCTTTTTCTGATCTTCCTTTGAATGTCCAGAAGAAAATTTTGTCTTATTTGCCCTTAAAGTTAGTAATTTCTTTTGCCAAGAATTATACCTTTCTTAAATGTTCATTTCGATTTTTCTTTCCCCACTTCCAGTATATCATGTTTCTTCGCTGACTGTTATTTGCCAGAAAATTACTCAAGTTCTGATATATATTTGGGTACTGCTTTACAAATGTACTTTACATCAATTCTAACCGTAGATGCCGTGTACGCTTGGAACGTGTATCGATGACGTGGAAAAGATTATTAAATATATCTTGGCAGAATATTACCTTCGCAGATATCCCATCGACTGTAACAAATTCATTTCAAATCCGGCCAATTGATGATCATCATGTTTGTGGTTTCTTACAGAAATGCGGGCGTTATTTACGTTACATTGATTTTTTTATTCCGCATGTGAATATTGGCAGACATGTATTGTTCAGGTAATTTGCACGCAGTAATATAGTAAAAGGTCTAAAAGACTTTTTCTTAATTAAGTATAATTCTTCGTTAGATTATAAAGATCAGAATTTTGTTCGCATATTTGTAATCTCAGGCTTTTTATTTGTAGTATCTGTCAGAGATGTGTAAACTTGCGTGAATTACGTCTAATAACAGATGTAAATGGTTGTGCAATGACAAATCTGCTCAAAGAGTATAGCCATCAGTTGGCCCAACTCCAGGCTCTCAGTATTAGTTATCAGGCTCAAGATGAACTCTATAATGGGATGCGGTAAGCAATTTTGAAATTTGTTTTGTTAACAAAGGTTACTGTTTTTTCGTATAAAAGTAATGAAATTAGTCATCCTGCTATCGCTGTTACCGAAATCGTTGACTTTAACATATCTTCAAGGAAGTAATTAACTTGACAAATGACTTCATTCTGTTTTGTCTTAATTTATTCGTAACTTACACGTATAATTTTTTTGTAACATATACGATTTTCAGTGCTGTGGCTCGTTCGATGACAGAATTACGTTCTTTTCGTTTGGATTGTTATACAATGCCTGCAAATGTATCCGCTTTGTTTCCCAATAGTCCTCATATGAAGATCTATTCGATTTTATTGAAACAGGTGGAAATATAACTGACATCAGTTAAATTTGGTTTACATTCTTTTATTTTGTTCGGGATCTTAAATTAGACGTAATTTTTCAGCCAGCTAATGTTGGTATCAGCAGTAGCTCGTTGACTGCAGGATCTAGTATGCAGTATGAATGTAAATATGTTCGTCCAGAATTTGTAATTGATTTCTTTGCTTACTTGGGGGATGTGTATCTCGAGCTTGAACAACTTGATATCTCATTTGATACCAATTACCCGGTAAATGAAGAGAAAATATTTCACAATTTGCGGTTAGTGCTCACTGTTATTTTGTGAGATTTCAAATTTATATTTAATTAAAATTCAGGATCTAGACCACGTATTTTACCCACTTGAGATGACTTTTTCAGTATGATCGGAACAACGCGTGCTTTGAAACGTTTGAACTTACGGATTGCTGCGTTGTTGGATAATAGTACGGAATGGTTTGGAACACGAGCATTACAAGCGCTGGCCTATTTTCCGACACTTACGCATTTATCGCTATGGACATGTGCTCTACCATTTGATTTACCTTATATTCTGGCGAAATCACCACTAGCGAATAACTTGACCATGTACGCTTGTTTATTGTTGTGTAATGTCACTTGTTCACTGCAGTGATATAATACTGTAGTGTTCATTTTTACCTGTGCTGTATTTCTTTACTATAAATAACACAGTCATTCTTCAGATACACGTATATAACTACTCTTATTTTAGGATCGTAAGAAATATTTGGTAAATAATACATTTACTTTAATCAATGATTTTACGGAAGCTTTGTTATATTAAGCCTTAACATTATTACTATTACGAAGGAGTTTTTTGTATGAATGATCAGTATTCAGGCTTCGATTAGCTATCGTGCGCAATCTGTCGAATAATATGTTATGCGCCATATTTCGTGCATTACCATCGCTCACTTCATTTACTTTAATATACAGTGTTGATGGACGTTTCATATGCCCAGCTTGCATTGATGTATTGACTTTCGTGCAGTTATTTGAGGTATTGTGTAAATTTCTTTTTCAAATTTCTATTCAGATTTTACAAAACTACGTAATGATTGGAATATTAATTATCTTAAGACTTGTTTTAGTTGAATATAAACATGTCATTGTAACAATAACACCGCTACATGTGCTGTAGTCTTGTTTTTTAGTGTTGTCCTAGGATAAGCGAGCTGGAGTTGCATGATTGTGTGACAGTGGATGCTACACGCTTGGCCATAGCTGCTCACTCGCATTTTCATAGTTCAAGCACTTCTTTAGGGTATCTTTCTCCATCTTGTCTTTGCCAAAGTTTGTTGATCTATTTTTAAAAAAAACAGAGATATATTATTCAAATATTTTACTGCTTTTAGAAATGGTCGTTTGAAAATAGTGATCAAAACAAAAGAACGTAAACGACGGCGTGACTCACTAAATAGGCTATTGCGCTGCTGTACAGAGATTGAAAGCACACAAAATACAACGATTATTAATATCTACAAAACATGCTGTCATTCAAAAAAGGCACCAACTATTTCTGGACATCGATAATTTATAATCTTGAGGTGTTTTATACCGGTGTACTGCCTTTTGACTATTTAGAGTTGTGTTCAGTAGTGGTGGTTGGTATCTTTTTTATTCTTGAGACATGTTCGAATTGTTGTTTTTTGTTAAGTTGCCTAAAACTTTTTGGTACAAAGCTCATCAACTGCCACTCTGTGATTTTAGATGTGATTATTGTCTTTTGAATTGTTTGTGCGTCTTTCCTTTCGAATTTTTTTATCTTAATTTTTTGTATAGATAGCTTTGAAATAGCACATATTTATTGACCTTTTTTACATTTACCAACCCTTTTTGCCTCATTCGTAGAAGAGATTTTTGCAGCAAACAATCCTAATGGTTCTGTTCATCATATCGAAACGGTTTTGATATCCCTCCCAAAAATTTGATGTTTTGGGTTGAAAGGCTGATATGCTTTTAGGAACTTTTTTGTTTTGATGACTATTCACTGTTGTTATTCTACTGCCCTGTTCATGAATTTTTTGTTCTCGATATCCATTCCAAATTTTTCAATTCCAAAAAATGTTGAGATCTTGATTTGTATTGGAAAACTAAGGTTAAAACCTATTGCTATGCTGTGACGGAAGTATCTTTTATTATAGCATGGTATGTATCTTCTTACCTCTTACAGCATGTTAATAGTATTTTATGTTTTTTGACGTTACTTATTGAAGAGAAATATTTCGTTGTGGAAAAAAAAAGCTACTCACGTTTATTTAAATTTTTAAATTCCAATATTTTCTTTTTTTCAAGTTTAAAATTGAAATATGAGGCTAGGGCGTATTTGTTTTTTTCAACATTTGGTCTGTAAAGTATTTACATTTACCGGGTTTTCCATCATATACTTCTGTGCCACTTGCTGCGTATTATTTTCTCTTATTACTGGCTTCCTTTTTTTATCAAATTGTTTTCCTAAATCTTTTAGAGTAAGTTTTGAGCATTTCCTTAATTCACAGTTTTGGAGACATTTAATTTTAAAGCGAGCGCGAAAATATTTTATATTCTCGATTATTTTTTTTTTGGAGGGTGATTCACTGCATGGTACTCTTCAGCACCTTCAGTATACGATATCCGCAAATCGTTTCACGCTTATTGAACATTCTATTATTAATTGTAGATGGTGGAATTTCAATTGGAGTTTTTAAACTGGTAATCTGTGCTAGGTGAAGTTTTGTGTGCTGGTATTTATTCCTGTGAAACTTTCGGTTTTTTTTTTTTTTTTTTTTTTTTGTTTTATTCCTTTAGTAATAATTTTTGTGCTGGGTTTAATGGTAAAAGTTGTTTTTCTTATTACACTTTATTGTATTTGTTAATTGTTGTCTTAATACATCAAAGAGTTTGTTTGTTTTCTCCGAATGGAATTGGATTTTTGTTTTGATAAAAGAAGGGAATTGAAGATCGGAAATACTTGAAATGTAGTAGAGATTATTTGAGTTTAATTAGGTAGAAAAATTTTTTACTTACGATAAATAGTTTGCTATTGTATAACTGACTGATTGGTTTTAAAGCATAATATAGTTTGGAAATAGGTTTGAAGTCATACTCGTTTATGCTTAGAGATTCAAGCTATTGCGAGGATATAGATGTGTTGGGATTTCTATGTTATTCAAGGTCTGTTTAAAATGCAGATGCAGTGAATACTGCCGGTGTTCAATTAGTGCTGGGAATAGGTATTATGAGTGAAGATATATTAATATTCAAGTGACCATTGGATTTTCGTTATTCTGGTATCATATTATGTTACTTTATTTTTGCAAGGATAAGTGTGTGCATTATGGAAATTGTTCCAACTTCGGTATTTAATTTGGAGAACTTTTCAAGTTCTTTATAGATGGCATCGAAGTGTGCTTCACTATCATTTGAGGTAGGATGTTAAAAAATGGTCAAGAGCAGTATGGATGCAAACTTCAATGACGACGATTAAATTCATATATTGTGAGCACTTTGATACCTTATTTTTCAGGGTGTTTACTTGCTGTTGTGGAGTATTGTGGTAATGATTGTAGTTTTAAATGCATGTTCGATATTTAAAGAGAAGAATATTCAATGGTTAGTTTTCCCTACGAAGGTAAATGTTAAATGTTGTTTAGTTGTACTTAAGAAGGGTTATGAATTGCTGATACAGTTTTCATGGTCCTTTGTATTGAATCTTGATTCATTTATCTGTTATTTGTTTTTAAGTTGTGTGGAAAGGGGGATCTGTGAAGAAGCTTTTGACTTGGGTCTGTATCATCTGTATGGCAGTTTTTGTGATGTTCATAATCAGAAGTTGGAAGAATTACGTTGATTCAGATTATCAGCTTTTCCACTGGTAAGTTTTATTGTATTGCACTAGTATAAATTGATTATGGCATAAATCACTTCGTTGTGGAATCAGTGAGCTCAGAAATCAAGGCTTAGTATTGGTATTCCTGTGTTGCATAATTTTTTTGGTCTATTCAGGCATGCATCACTTACAACTGTTATTCCAACTCACATGTTATGCGTGTTGGTGCCATATCGTGACCGTGAGGCGGAACTACAAATATTCGTCTCTTATATAGCAGATTTTCTCAATAAACAAAATGTTCTTCATAAGATAATTGTTTTAAACCAGACGGATGCATTAAGGTTTAATCGAGCATCGCTGATTAATGTTGGGTGGTATGAAGCAGATCGAGTAAATTATACATTATTCCCACTCTTTTTAATATTTCGTATCCTGACAGAAAACATGGACGTTTTATTTAACAAAATACAAGTAAGGGCTATTTCTAAGTTCCAGGTTTCAGGGCTTTCTTTATTTTAGGTAGGATGTGATTACTTGGCTATGCATGATGTCGATCTTTTACCTTTAAATCCACAATTAGATTATTCATATCCAGGAAAAGGTATCATTCGACATATATCTTCCCCAGAATATCATCCAAAGTAATATCTTATACATTTTTTTCTTTGACAAACGAATATGCCTTAGGTCTTTTCACTTTTTATTTCATTATTCTTTCATTCACAGGTATAATTACACGAAATTTGTTGGTGGTATTTTACTTTTGACAATGTCTGATTATAAGGTAGTGAATGGCATGTCAAATAAGTACTGGGGATGGGGTCTTGAAGACGACGAATTTTATCTTCGTTTAAGGTATGTTTAATGTGTGCATTTGGTAATGAGTTTAATTATAAAGAAAATAGCAGGGCATGTGTTATTAAAAAAAGGAAGAGCAGTATCGAATAGAATATTTTTGATGGAAGATGGCAATCTGAATTTTTTGAGAAAATGTTTGAATTTCTTGATTAAAGACAGCTTTAAGAGATGCAAATTTACTGTCATCTATGCAAAGACCGATGAATTTAACTACAAATCGTTCCAATACTTTTCGTCACATACACGATCCAAAAATGCGAAAGAGAGATTTCAAAAAATACGGGAATCAAAAGCAGATAAGCTTCAACTACATTATTCTAAGAATCCTCTAGAGGATTACTCTCTGTCTCTTTGTTGTTTTTTTGTTACCAAATGCAATTTAAGTAAATAGCTACAGGTTTTTAGATGGCTCACAAAAGAGACCGAATTAGTGGTTTGAATTCCGTAAAATATCATATTGTTGGACGAAATTTGCTCAATTTTCGAAAAAAACTGGTGGTTTCCGTGCTCAATATTGAATTGGAATGTGACTTGAAATGGACGAACTATTGCAGACCATAACAGAGTGTTCTTAAATTGTTTCTTCCCTTTAATATCATTTTACCTTTAGATTCTTATGAATTTTTTTTCTTAAAATTTTCACTTGCGGTTTCTGTACAATTTGAATATACTGATAATTCTATTACAAAATGCTAATTGGAAATTTGTCTTTTTTCGCTAATTTTTGTTCATTATTGTATTCAGCTGTTCTTCCATTGCGAAAACTATTGGAAAGTGAAAATAGTCAGTTTGCAATTTTGGTTTAGATAGAATAGCTTTAGAAATTTTACTATCATGAATTGTGAGATGTTAAGTAATCCAAATGGGTTGTAGTGATCTGATGTAGAATACGTTTTTAAAAATTTGAGACTACTAGGCATATTTTTTAAGGCAATGCTCAGCGTAAAAATTAATTTGATTTTATGAAGTTTCTTCGAATATTGAATCTATCATGTGACATCCTAAGACAGTCTAGAAGTTTGGCGAGGAAAGACAGTTCTTTTGTAATTTTTGTCCAGATTTCATTAAGTTATGCTTAAACTGACTTCTTGAAAGTTATTATATAGGTCGTATTACAACAATAAAACTGGCAGTTTCATAGAGAGATTGTCTGTTGTTGTACACATTGCATCACTTAAGTATAATTCCTTCATTATTTTTCAAAAAGTATTTGGGTCCGTTCTATTGTAAAATTCCTTATGTATGCCCGTTTCGCAGTAGCAAATTTATTTCCTTTTTTAACTATCTTCTCGATATTACGAATGTATTGCTTTGTTAAATTATAAATTTTGACTGTTTTGAACTAAACCTTCTGTTATTTTTTGTTGGATTTTATTCGCAGAGTTATATCGTAAGTTTTTAATACAAGAAATGATATCTCTACTTTGCTTTTTTAAATATTTTTGATATGTAACAGAATATTCTCCCATTTAGATTTACGATTTCTGTGATGATACTGGAGATATATGTTCATATTGGTTGTATTTGGGGCAGCTGCGGTCTGATGTGTTGAAATTTTTTTAAAGTTGTTTTGGATGAATTTGAGAAACTTATTTACTTCTGATCCCATTTGTTTTACAGTTATGAGTTTGGGAGTTGATGGTGTTGCCGTTTTAGCCGATCTTCATTGGCTTCTTAAAGAGTCCGAAATGAGATGTTTGGTAGATGCGGAGCAGTGGTGTGTTTGAATTTTCTGTTTTCAAGTGAAGTATTCAACATCTGTAACTTCTGTAATTTTACCAGTTTTACTTCCTGTCCTGTCAGTTTGTGAAGAGCAAACAAAATATCAAGAAGCAGGCAGCAGAATTTAGTGGTTTCAGGGTTAGCGAAATGCTATTTTATGCTAATGAGGACTGGCACAATTTCTATGCGAACCATAAGTCGGCACAACCAGAAACAGCAGAAATGGATTACAACACGATCAAGCCACATGTGGCCAAAGTTGCTGCTTTTGGTTCGTTTTTGTGATATAGAGGAATCCAAATAATATGATGAAAATTCAAATAAGAAGTTTTGCATAAAATATGTTCAGCAGTAGTGGCGCAGAAGATCATTCCCCTTAAAGGAATCTTTGATGTTAGTTCCGTAGATATAAACTTTAGTCCATACTTCAGCTGTTTTCTCAATGAATGTTTCTCCAAGTTTTATGCGATCTCCAATCTGCTTTAAATTAGAAAACGATTTAGTTAAAAAATTAACCTAGTAACTATTAGTTTTACTCAAAAAACACTTAGTCCAGCTGTAAACTATTGCTACTTCTTTTGCATTTCATTAATAATTCTCAAAATCACTAAACTTTTTATAGGTAGAGCTTTAATTAAAAAACGTGAATTTTATCGAGCTGCTTATTTCTTGAAACAGATAAAAGATGAGTCATCATATGATCGTTTCATGTATTATTGGACAAGATATTTGGTTAGCGATTTGCTATCTCGTTTTTTAACTTATAAATTCCTTTTGATTAAAAATTCACATATTTATTACGATAGGGTCTTTAGTACATCGGAAAATATGGAAAAATACAGTTCGGAAATAGTAGTTTCTGAAGGTATTTTGCATGTTACATTTCATTATTCAGAAGTGACCTTTCCTGTTGTTGATAATTACTCTTAGCTAGACATTTGTAAAAGTAAATGCTTTATTTTGTTTCACTCTTTGTTATTGATTAAAATGAAAATGTTTGGCATTTCTGTAGCACTTATTTTCACATTGCTTATATTTGTTAGCATTACTAAATTATGCTTGTACAAAAACAGGCATATGAATATAATCGACTTGAAACTGAGGCAGATTCAATTAGTCGAATGGAGTATGATGATTCTGAACTCAAGGAACTTCATAATGAACTTTGCTTGCTTGGTAGTGATCATCCGGAATATTTCGATGCGTTTCTTCTGTATATGTTAGTGCACTTTCTCATAACGAAATTGTGATATTAACATAGTCATTTTAAGACAGTTCTGACCTTCATATTAATCGAATAAAAACTAGTATTTGTGATAATTCAAGCATCCGAAATAAGAGACAACGTTTATAGTCTTGCAAAGGTGCGTTGCAGTCTGAAATTGAAGGTAGGAGCAAAGGAAGCATTTCTTGAGTCTATATCGTTGAATCGAGCTATGTGGCCTTCGTGGGAGGAGTTGATTATACTCGTAGATTCCGTGGATGAGGTAAGGTGAATTCCAGCAAAGTAATGTGTTTTACTCAAGCAATTTTCATTGACAGTATATGTTAGGATTTTAATTATTTTTTCCTTGAACTAACAGTTAGTTCAAAACTTTAGTTTTCATACTTATATTTGATTTAGAACAAGTTGTTTATTCTTATTTTAAAATATATTTATATATTTAATCAGTACTGTTGCAGGCTGAAACAGAAGCGTACTCTGCTGGTGGACACTGGATGTATCAGTTTTTCAGAGCTGCTGTGCTTTCCCGATTTCAGTTGCATAAAAATGCGTTGGAACAGTATGAAAAGTTGAGCGAATGCGGTTTCCCAAATATGCCTTACATTATGAACCAAGCTGCTGCTTCGTTAAATAATATGCAAGGTCATCAACTTGTCTATTTCCTTAAAAAATGTTATTAAATAGCTTTATTATTTGTAATATTTTTTGTAATTTTTAATTCAGAACATGATATGGCGTTGGAATTTTTCAAAAAAGTGCGTAAACTTGATCCCTATCGCGTGGAACAGATGCATCTATTTTCTGACTCTCTGTATGTTCGAGTAAGTCGGTTTTTGATTCGAATTAATTCTTAAAATTTATAAATAGAAAAAAATATTTCGAAGTTCAGCTTTGAGTTGTTTATCAGTGTTCTAGGTTCTAGCTTTTCAATTCTTTCAGAGCGCTCGTTCAGATTTGGCAGATCTTGCCCATACTTTTTTTAAAACACATAAATTCTGCTGGGAAACGTGTTGTGTAATAGGTAAGTCTTCCATTACTGTAAAACATAATGAAGTAAAATTTTAATATAAAGATTTGATATAAGGTTTTGTTCAAAATAATTGAAATCAGTCCTTTACTAGACCAATATTCCTTTTAATATTTAAGAACATCTCATTATTTAGGAAACTGATTTTCAGCCAATTACTATAGTTTGAGAGGTGAGCATGAGAAAGCAGTTGTTTTCCTGCAGCGCTCACTCAAACTCAACCCTAACAATGCAGCAGCTTGGACATTAATCGGTCATGAGTTCATGGAGCAAAAAAATAATCCAGCTGCATGCCTTGCATATCGGAAAGCAATCGGTATTTTTACTATATATATTGCATTTCACATACTGGAATTTGCTGAAATTTGAAGTTACACTAAATTCTGAAACACAGACCACTGGAACACATTCGCTTCTACTTGCTGCTATACAGCAAGAATTAATAGTAAAAATGTAGTCTGCTTTAATAGGATGTGAAAATATATATGTTGCAATAGTAGCTAATTTGAACGATGTCGTTTACATTAAGATAAGTTTAGAAGCTGATTCACACGATTATCGTGGTTGGTATGGTTTGGGTCAGCTTTACGATATACTAAAAATGCCTTCATATTCACTTTACTACTACCAACAAGCTCACAAATGCAAGTAAGAATAACTTCATAACGTTACTAACAAATCAAGATATAATTGTTGAAGATAAAATTTGTTTCAAAATTTTTGGGCTTTTGAGATTGTTAGTACAGTGAATTTTTTTGAATAGTAGAGGTTGAGCCAAGCACGTAAGACTTGAGAATGTTCAGTTTCTATGATCTATGAATTTCAATATACTACTTTACAGACCGGATGACTCGCGTATGTTAGTTGCACTGGGTGAAGTTTATATTCGACTTAATCAAATTCCTGATGCTCAGAAATGTTTCCTGAAAGCATATAAGGTTGGAGATGTCGAGGGAACTGCGCTTATGCTGCTTGGAAAGTGATAAATATTTGTCTTTTTTTTTTTTTTTTTTTTTGTATTTTCAGCCATTATTTATACTTAAATGTGTAGTACGACTTTAGTTCATTTCATTTCTGTTTTAGACTTTATGCAAAATGTAACGACAATGACCAGGCCGCATTAATCTACGAAAAATATTTGGATGTTTATGGCGAAGAATTCGTAAGTTTCACAGTGTTCGTGCTAAAAAACATTTCATTCAGTGCATAAAATTTATTTTAGATGGACGATTTAAATAATATCGCAACATGTTGTTCTTTTCTTGCCAAATATTATCTGAAGAAGGGTGATCTGGATACAGCTACTCCGTTTGCACAACGTTGCTTAGAATATGACACTGTATGTTTGCTTTACATAG